GAACCGAGGTTTGCACCACATTCTTGGCGAGCTCAAAGGGGCCTATAAAACCTGGTCAGCCACACTTCTTACACGAGGGGGGGAAAAAGTAGCTTACATGCAAATGGGGACGCCGCAAGGCCAGCGCACATGCCCGCGACAGTGAACGTAGTAACCGTCGCCAAGCTGGGATTACTTCCACGCTCGTTATAGGCTACCAGAGGAGAAACGCCGGTGATACGTTCCCACTCATCCGAGATTTTATATTTGGCATTTTGGTATGTGCTGAAGCTGACTACTCGCACAAACGTGACGCTCATAAGAGGAGGTAAAAAGCCTTGTATGTCCATGAGATTAAGGTCTAAAGAAGAAAAGTTGATAGAGCAATAACACATACCAGCAGTATAGCCACGAAATCCTTCTGTTCGCCATATGTATTTAGCACATTCGGTTATATTGCGAAAGTTGTGCCTATAACGAGATTAGCCGCCTACGGATCAATATTGGGTATGTGCTCGTACGTCTGCATTCGAGTTTTGATGTTCTCCAAAGGCGTCTGTAAACGAACACATTAGCTAACGTCGGAAAGAAACAGCTCGATACCGCACGATAACGTACCACAGACAATGTAGCAAAAATGGTCGAGGTAGCTGACGCCACTTGAGTCCGATATCTTTTCAGTAGTCGGTTTCGCCTTTTGGTGTCGAAGACCCATGGGCTCGACGATGGCATGGCGGCAGGTTCAGCTCGAGTAGATGCTGTAGAAGGAAGAGGGGCGTGGCTAGGGTTGTCGTTCAAAGTCATACCTGGCAACTGGTATCAGATCATAGGAGTGGTCAGATTATGAAGTGCCGTCCGGGCGTAGGCCAAATTTGAGTGCTTCTTCGAAAATGAAATCAAATACTGTGTGGGCTGGGGAACCCGATGGAACGCAAAGCGGTCTCTCAGCCTGCGAGATGGACCGTTCGGCGTCCCACAATCGTTCGTCAATCGGGTTGCGACAACCCTTCGTTGGGCAATATGCGGGCCTGGAAGCTTTTAAACCACCCGCCTGGGAGACTGTCAAAGCGATGAGATATGGTATGAGGTGCGATATGATTTCGAGAAGTAGGGTTGGCAAGGTTGCCAGTGAATTATCACGGGCTAGTTTGAGGCGTTCGAGGACGCTTCAAGGTGCTGATGTGGACCAAGGTTTATGGTACAATCAAAAATCCATCGATCCTGAATCTTGCTATCGACAAGGAGAAGGTAGGTAGGTGGTCACGAGAGAAGTACTCCGGGTGAGCGAAAGAATGGCGGAACGGAGTACAGTCTGCCGGCGTTATAGTTCTGAGGTCAGCTTGAATGCGCGTATAATGTGACTTCCGGTGGTGTGTATTCGCATTGAATGTAGAGAGAACGAGAAAAGGTTTCGAGAAATGTTCGACTACCGATTTAGAGAAGACACCGGTGCAATGACTTGGGTGAGGAGAGGGGGGAATGGCAATGAACGCTCGACGTACCTGGTGTGGGGCGGCTATTGAGCGATTTGATGGTTGGTCTTGGTCTTGGTTGGTTTGGCCCAGGCCGGGAGTGGGAAGGATAGGCGCACAAGAGTACGGTCACCAGAGGCGTTAAAGAGCAAGCATAAATGCCACTACTAAGCATCCATGGATGGGCGGAGGGAGGAGATGCTCTCGAGTCGAATAGAGGCGAGAACTGGCGAGTCCGTCTTGGGCGTCTTTGGCTCGTCCCGTTCTGGTTAGCTCTACAGCCCCACTCTGACACAAGCAGGCCAATCACCGGGCCAATACTTGGTGCGTACCCAGTGACGTCGTCGTTGATGTGGATGTGTGGCTCCCAGCCAATTACAACAGTTATAAGAGCGGATTCTTGACCCACTCCTCCATTCCACGAATCCGCGGCCGCCCAGGGGCGCTGCTTAATAGGCTTATCCTCGCATCTTGCCCGTTTTGGGCCCCGCGCACCACTGTCCTCCGGGCGGCGACACTTTGGGCCAGTCGAATGCAGTTTGACTTTGTTACGGGCAGATCGCTTGGTCTGGGGTGCAGCACGGATTCTCTCCTATTGGCATATTCTCATTCGTGCATGTCATATCCGAGTTCCTACTTACTGTAGTATACGGACGGCTTGCTCTCGGTGACGTTGAACACAGCCTAGAACATTCCATCTATGTGTATAACCCTCGATTTCTGGCTTTTCTAGGCCGAGGCAAAAAGAAAGTGGATGTATTAGCCAAATACCGGGGTGTATATGCAAGGAGATGGAGGTAGGGTAGGGCAAGATCTCAATATATGCCTCCCACCTTCCTTGAGTAACTAGGTATACCTGGTTAGCGAATAAAGTAGATTATTAATATGTTGATGACCATTGGGCCAATTAGACCCTTATCTTGTATCTTCTGTGTATCCACGACTGGGGCTGGATACGATAGGCATACAATATCGTTTGTATAGTCATTCTTAATCTGTTGGAGATTTATGTTTCTTATCCTGACTTTCCGGCTGACGGAATTCTTTTTCCCCGGTAACCGTGACTTCAGGAAAGAATTCAATGAACGCTGTTGTTTTCGATATCTCGGGGGTGCTACTATGAAATTGCGGGTCCCTTTTAGAAAGTCGAGGGGAGTTGCAATATTCAGTGCTGCTAGCGATGCGGTTTCAGCGGCTGTTTTAAGGGATTGTGATTGCTAGTATTCTACCTTGATCGCTCAAGTGCTATATAAGATTTATTTTGCAGTCAATTGATATGGATATCTGACCTTGTTATCAGTGCGGACATGCGGAGTAGATATATATATTAGTATACACACCAATGTTAATCGACAACCAGTAACAGGCATCAATTGGTCAATTGATGTAGAATCAACTAAACTAGGTAGAATTATCATTACTAATTCAAATGTGACTGACACACTGTCTTTTTCAAAATCATGCCTAGCATAATCAAATCTGATTGAGCCTTTCGGACTGTATTCACATGTTTTTGGCTCCCTTGATGAACAAGCCGATGCATTATTCTTCATAGCGAATTATGCGCATAATGATCTCACACGCAAAGACAAGAGAGCTCGTATTCACTTCATTATTACTATTGATAAGTTCAGAGTACGTACTTGGAAAAGGACCGCGGACGCACACGAGAACCGACTCGGCTAGCGCGGCAGGGGACCTCGGCTCCGGCTTCCCCGCAAAGCCCAACGGGAACTCGGCAGGCGCCGCGGACCCCAATCGATGCGTATCCATTATTTACATCGCCGCTCTCTTCGTTCTGCAGCACCAACTCTGTTCAATTTACCACCACAACTCATCAGTGACCAGTTTACTGGCATATTTACCAATTGAAATAACCACGAAGCAGAGACAACGACAAAATGGGCAAGAAACAGAACAGTCCAGCCTACGTGCTCGGCGTGGGCATGACTAAGTTCATCAAGCCCCGAGGCAAAGTTGACTACCATGAAATGGGATTCGAAGCTGGTGTCAAGGCCATGCTCGATGCACAGATTACATACGACGATGTCGAGCAAGGAGTTGCCTGTTACGTGTACGGAGACAGCACTTGCGGCCAGCGAGTCTTTTACCAGTTCGGCTTGACCAAGATCCCCATCTACAATGTCAACAACAACTGTTCCACCGGCTCTTCTGGGCTGGCTCTGGCCCGCACCATGGTATCAAACGGTGCGGCTGACTGTGTTCTCGTCGTCGGCTTTGAGAAGATGAGCCCCGGAAGCCTGCAGTCGTATTTCAACGACAGAGAAAACCCGACCGGACTGTTTGGAATGATGATGGCAGAAACCCGGGGCGTGACAAACGCTCCAGGTGCTGCTCAATTGTTTGGAAATGCTGGTCGCGAATATATGGAGAAGTACGTAATCTGTCCTTTGGTGCAAGTTGAGACTAACAACTTTTGTTTTTACCATAGGTACGGAGCCAAGGCAGAAGACTTTGCCGAAATTGCGCGCGTGAACCACGAACACTCGAAACGCAACCCTTATTCGCAGTTCCAGGACGAATACTCGCTTGAGCAAGTTCTCAAAGCCCCCATGATCCACGAGCCCCTCACAAAATTGCAGTGCTGCCCGACCTCGGATGGCGGTGCCGCCGCGGTCATTGTGTCTCAGGCGTTCCTTGATGCCCGCCCTCATCTGAAGGAACGCGCCGTTCTCATCGCTGGCCAAACCATGGCCACTGATGACATCTCTGTATATGACCGCAGCGCCATTGATCTTATCGGCTCCGGGATGACTCGCCATGCCACCCGCACAGCTGCCGAGGAAGCTGGCGTAAATGTCAAGGATATAAAGGTGTGCGAATTACACGATTGCTTCTCGGCCAACGAAATGATCACCATTGATGCCCTTGAACTGTCGGAGCCGGGAAAGGCCCATGAGATGGTGCAGAAAGGCGACATTACCTATGGTGGAAAGATGGTCATCAACCCTTCTGGAGGTCTCATCTCCAAGGGCCACCCATTGGGTGCTACTGGACTTGCCCAGTGCGCAGAGCTGGTCTGGCACCTACGTGGCTGGGCCAACAACCGTCTTATCAAGGGTACTTCGTCAGCACTGCAGCACAACCTGGGCTTGGGCGGTGCCGTTGTGGTCACTATATACAAGCGCGCCGATGGCAAAGAGGCAACGCCAGTTTCTTCCCAGGAAGTTGCCAGAATCACAGGGCTAGGATACAACCCGGCCGTTGAAGCCCGGGGCTTTACAGCAGAACAAGCCCAGTCTGTTCTGAGTAAGAAATTCAGTGATTGGGCACAGGGCGATGTACAAGAAAAAGTCTTGGCCCGATTTTAGGAAAATAACTCTTTACGTTCTTGATTTATTTGATGAATATATTCTTCTGTCATTACCAGCGGGCGATAATAATAAGACTATCATCTATTACATATACTCACAAATAAATATTATCTATCTATCATATTTAAACCCAATCTTTGGCGTCACTGACACTTTGGAAATACTGCTGCTGGCAGTATTAATTATGTTGACCGTGAGTGAAAAAAAAAATTAGAGCCCGATCCGGGGCTCGAACCCGGAGCTTTCAGCTTCAATTGTAAGACAGGAAACTTGAAAAGTTTCGCGATAGCGATCTCTACCCTCAAGAGGGGGTTAAAGACGCTGTTTAATTGTAACACGAAGGAAACAGAAAATTTCGCGATAGCTTCCGCCGTCCCCGGGAGGGGAAGTGGCCGATAGACCTAAAAGGCTGACATTCTAACCAATTGAAATAATCGGGCGCCTAAGACTCAACCCGTGTTAATAGTTTATCGTCCATGCTTTCTCATGCTACTAGTTAACGTATTACACGGGCATTTGGATCACACGGGTATTTGGATCACCCACCCGCCACTTCACATATTGAAGCAACCTGGATTCATAATCAATCATAGAAAATTGTATATATTTCTATATAGAATTATTCAAACATGACGTGCGCTTATGTCCTATTTGTCCGCAACTTGTACACTTAGGTGGTGCGCGTCTGCGAGGCTGAGAACCCTCGGCCGGAGTAGTCAGTTGGTCAGGTAAATTATCTTCTTGAAGCGCTGCAGCAAGCTCTTGGCCTTCAGAAACAGTCAAAATACCCTTATTATAAAGCGCTTTTGACCTTCTTTTACGCTTCTTGCTCACATGCTCATTTGCTATCCGCAAATCATGGTTCTCCTTTGCTAGAATTGCCGCAGAGTGCATTGCCATTGAGCAGCCCTTTATCAACTGATCTAAAGCATGATTTGTGGGCGAAGGAGGGCTCACTGTACGTCGCTTTAAGAGTTGCTTTATTGACTCAGTCTGGCGTTGCAAAGTCCGAATATTATGAGGTGTTATAAGCGAAGCATTGCTTGTTGATGAGGTGCCTGGTTTTGAGGCCTCCGGAGTGGGAGTCCGCACAATAATTTGCAATTGAGATAGAATGATTTTAGGGTTGAATGGTAAAATGCCTGTATGAGAGAAGCCGCCCATAATATTTTCTATAGAATAGACCTTTGAGCGTATTCCTGGCAGTATAGTAAGAAAATCATATTTATCAATATGATTAATACTGTAGCGCATCCAATCTTCAACTGCACGTCCAAAGCGGTGCTTGAGAATAGTAAAAACACCTATATCAAGTGGCTGCAATAGGTGTGAAGAGTGTGGAGGCATGTATACAGAAATAATGTCATTATTATGATAGTATTGATCCTATTCAGGTGTTAAATGGCTGCTGTGGCTATCTAATATCAATAATCGGTATCTTCCAACCGTATGAGGCTTCGTTAATTTATCGAACACATTCTGAAGCCAAAGTAAACTAATTTCATCTGAAGTCCAGCCATTTGGTGATTGTGTAATTGACCAATCAAGTGGTAAGCTAGGGTGTGTATACCAATCGGTCTGCTTAGTACCAGATTTGAATATAATTAATGGAGGTAAAACGAAGCCTTGAGTGCTTATACACTCTACTGCAGTAACCTATTCGCGATTTCTAGGTTGAATAAGGCTTGGTTTACCTGAGCGATCACGGCTACATATAACTTTTGCTGTAGCAATGATCCCTAAAGCAAACCTAGTCTCATCAAAGTTGTAAATATCTTCATCTGCAATACTGTACTTGCTTCGGACGCGTTGGAGAGTATCAAAATATTCTTGTATAAGCTTCGGATCTTCGTATTTGGCTTGGGAATAGGTTAATCGACGTGCAAATCGCGTTTTGAGGTTAGTTTGACGTTTTAAAAAGCTGTTCACCTAGTTTATACTAACGGTAATTGGCGTAGTAGTGTTTCCTCGTTTTGAAAGTAGAATATTAGCTATAACACGAAGCATTTGGGGCCGGACAGGACATCCTCGCGATTCCATAGAGAGAATCCATTTATGAAGTGATTGTTCCTCAGTAGGGGTTAATTTTCGACGTTTTGAGCCTGTAGTTGACATCTTAATATGGCTGTTAAGTCGATTGCGAAGAGTTGAGAACGGTACATTATAAAGGCGCGCTGCTTTGTGAAGACTTGTGATTTTTTGATTTTTTAACGCGTTAATAGCAAGAGAAATACGCCCTTCATAATCTGGGCTTTTTTTTGCATGATTTTTGATCATTATTGGATGAAAATGAGGTTTTGAAGTAAGTGGTTGGTTGAAAAGTTGAAGAAATTTGGTGGGGTGATCCAAATACCCGTGTGATCCAAATGCCCGTGTAATACGTTACGTGGGTGAAATGATGACATAAGCGCAGCTCCACTGGCGACTATAATCCGCCGTCGCTGCGCGTCCCGAGTTGGATTTTTCTTCTTTTTCCTCTTCTCATCTACATAAAACATTCAGGTCTTCATACCCTTGTGGACGAACGAGTCATCATTGAATGATTCACCTCAGTTTCATCTGCAAATTTAGACAATCGAGACCGAGATTGAGGAAAATGCTTGTTTCTAATCCCGACGACCTTAATGCTTTTTTTCTGTGCGCTGGCCGGGTTCGCTTATAGCATACAATCTTCGAAGCTATTTCCTTTTTTTCACATTTCTTTCTTGATTTTCTCGCAGATGCGTCATTATCTGCGACTGACATTCTTCAGAGACGATCCTCATCTATTGCAATGCATGGTTGCGTGATTCGCTCGGTTTCATCGTCGATCAGAAAAGACACGGCATCCGATGCTCCGCGCATACCTACCTACCTGCCTTCCTCTCTCCAGACGCGACGACAAAAAACGATATACTAATGCGTGATATCTGATGTTGCCGCGTGTTGGATCCTTCCTTTGGCTGGCTCTGCCATAAATATAAAAGAAACAAATTTCTCACTAACCCATGTAGGATCACGGCGCTTTCGAAGTCTCATCTGTCCTTTCCGATGACGGTTTGAGGTCAAATTTGTGCCAACATTGAGATTGTCGAGGATATTGAATAAAATTTCCAGGCGATTCTCACTCGTGTTGCGTTAGTCTCCAGATAAACAAAAATCCATGGGGCCGTACGTGTCAAAAGAGGGAGATACATAAACCGTAGCAGACAGTTTTGAAAGGGATGGGCTGGTTAGGGGATAAATCAATCCCAGCCATCGTTGCTTGTCCCAATGGCTTCCTGTGTGTGTGCCTGGATATTTTTTGCGTTTATTGAGTCCTTGTTGACAAAAATGTCAACGCAAGGGATTGATGGTTCGCATGAGCTGCGAGGCTTGCGTTTGGAGGACCAACACGCCACCTCTTGGCACGCGGGAATGTATCGCCATTATGAATTTGAAGGCCTCAACCGTATCAAGATACTCAATAGAGTTTTTGATCCTCCTGAGGGATTTTTACGAGCTTTGACGAGCAATGGATGTGAGGGAGAGAGTGTCGAAAAGCTACATGGCTAATAGGCTAATATATCGCCATAATACATTTAGAAACTTCTCTCTACAAAGGCTATACATAGATGTAAAGACCACATATAATCATGATGGCTTTTAACCTGATTTAATTTGAAAATAGACCGGGGCCTATTGGAAATAACTGACAATCATTTCTTGAGGACCCACGCTTACATCGTATCGTGCGTATATCAAACTACGTAAGGACCCAAGGGGGAGTCTTCTGAGCAAAACCCCCTCATTCCTGTCAAGAAGGATTCCAGTCTCCTGTTCCCACGTACGTACTCTAGTAGTTGATCAACATTGACTGACCATTTTTTGCCTTTTTTCCATGGCCCGTTTCACACGGACAAACAAATCCGAGCAAAAATGCACAACTAAGGACAGGTATAAAAGCCGTCGTGAATCCAGGGCCGCTGCCCTCGGGGGATTGCTGCTTGCTTATTACACGCTCTTATCATCTGGATACTTTCGACACTCCTTTTTAAAGTGATACATCACGACCCCTTTTTCTTTCGTTCACAATGGCCCGATTCAACTTCATTCACTACCTTTTCGCCATCTTTGTCGTGCTGGCCATGGTGGCCCACGCTCGACCGGCCTCGTCTGACCCAGATACCGACGCTCTCGCTGATATTCCCGACGTGTCGAAGGATCCCGACTCCGTCGTGGCCTTGTCCGACGAGGACAAGGACGACAGCGAGGAAGAATATACGGAAGATATGAAGCACGCCATTGAGGCAGCTGCCAAGGTGTGTATTTCTTAAGTGTCCTGGGGGGGAAAAAATCGACGAATTGAGGATTGTTGACCAATGCTGACAGGCTGCTTCCAAGGCCACTGCTACCTCTGCTGGCCCTCATCAAACCACTAGCGTAGCCACTGAAGTTCCTACCACCACAGTTCCTGTCGCTGGTACTACTATTAGTTCTGCCAGCAAGCCATCTACCAGTGCGAAGCCGTCGAAATCGTCAACTCCGGCTGCACCCAGCCCGTCTACGAAGGCCAACTTCCTGTCAAACATTCCCGTCTTTGGTCCTTTACTTGGTGGTCTTTCCTAGACATCTCAGAAATGTTCGACCCTTTTTAGGGGGAGTTGCGAAAGTTGAAGCAGGGTTTCCATTTTCTTTCATGCTTTGGCCAGTTGTTTCTTGCAAAATAAATTGGGGATTTGTTTTGGTGCTGGAAAGCATACTATACTGTGTGTATCGTGGGGTAGTTCGTAGTAGTACGTTTAATGAAAGAGCGTTCAAATAGTTTTGCGTGTCAGGTGTTTTCGTTGGATCTTTTGTAGCAGGCTATTGTATATTGCCTTGTGGTCTTCCATCGCGCAGTCCTGTTCGTGGAGTTGACATCCTTCCCTGTGGGGTTCTTGTTGGGTTCATGAATTCTATCCATCGGATTTGTACCGTTCTTGTCAAGACTGTCTGGAAGAATACTTGGTCCAAACCTGGTCATCATAAGATCCACAAAAGTCCACAGACTTTCTCCGTCCCACGCAGTAACCTTTACCGCAAAGTGAAGAGTCCGCTCCAAAGCCACTTTTCTCAGCCGTGTCACATCCTGTTTACCAATTGGATCCTCGTGACTCAAAAGATAGACCAGGAACATCCATCCGGAAATGTCCTTTGGGTTAGATAAACACCATTTCAGCATTGGTTCCACAAGCGCGACAGTTAGCGCGTGCAGCAAAGCAGGATCCTGACTGACCGCAGCGTTATAAGCCCTTTCCGAGACTTTCGACGCGTATGAATGGAGCTGGCGCATGTAGCTAAACGCATAATAATTTCTGGGATGGAGCTCTCCCGCTCTGCACACAATCTTCCACTCAGCAACAATAAACTTGTGCATGGCTTCTGGTGAGAGAAATATATCTTCTTGCAGCCGACCTCGCAGTTTCATCCGCTCAGTCAT